AATCCTTCCAAAACTGATGAGTGCAAATAAATGGGTGAGAAGCTCGATACACTATGAAATCACAATGGTCGCATAGCCATAGAGAGCCCTTGCAAAAAGACTAAAGTACTTCTAGCTGATGACATCGAAGTGAAGATCAGAGCAGCACCACAAGACGGGCGCCACGAACACCGACCGCCATGGAAGCTAAGGACGACCGCCAATGCAACCGTTGCAAACTCTGACATGTAGCTGGACTAATTGATGCAGGTTCAGTGACACCAGCTAAACAGCGAATAACAAAAGAACTAACATTAACAAAAACACAACCGTAGATGCCCCTCTTCATCTCAGACTGCAACAGCATCAATGCCAGGACTTCCACATAATTTAAGTTAACGTACTTAACGTACCTTTCATAAAGCACAATGCGTGCAATAACGCAGAAACATTTAATGCATGTCTAAAATCAATGACTTGACATGCAGTTCTCAACTCCGCAAAATTCACAGTGCTCAGAACCAACAAAGAAACTCAAACTTAAGATATATGCCCCTTTTGCTTTATCTCCAACAGAACGCGTAGAAGGCAATATTACATGAATACAGTGAATACTTAAGTGAATAAGTAACAACAGTGAATACTTAAGGAACACATCAGCAAAATATGACCAAATTTATGAAGGTTCATAAATCCTTAGACAAGGACGAAAAGCGGCACAGATACAAATTTAACACAATACTCAAGGATAACTGGCCTTCTGCTGCGGTAAACATAAAAATACGGTATATTATCTGGTTAAACTCATAATAGCCACTTAAAACACCGAAGAGTCAGATTGCCACACTGCCAACTCTGATTCCTACAGTAAAACATTATTGTCAAGTAGAGAATCTTATAACAAATTTCATTATATAATCATTGTATTTTACACCATTATCGCAAAAGAAGGTAATATGCGAAAGTCATTGCGAATTTCAGCTAATCACGATTAGAGACTTGTAAATCTGTCCATAAACTTTATGTCATAATTAATGCTCTGTTTTGATGCCGGTGATGCGGTTACCGTCCAGTTGCCAATCACCGCAAACAGTTTATTGATGTAAATACTTTGTGCAGTTTCATGATTTCTCTCAATTTGTCGGTTTTATTAAATATCGAACCTAGCTTCCTCTTGTTTTTCTTTGTTGCGGCGCTATCATATTTGCGCATGTTCTGTTCTTCATAGTAAGTGGTTGTTTTCTGTCCGTACGTTGTTTTTAGCTTTTCTTGTTTTATTCCTGTTTACATTCAGCCTTTCAAATGCCTTTATAGTACCTTCCTGCCGTGTACGTAGTGTTACTTTCTTGTTTTAACTTGCTTCCTTCCGCAAGTTTTTTTGTGTTCTCTTTCGTAAGTTGTTTCCCTAAGTTGGGCTTTTTCTAACGTATGTTGTGTACGCCCTTTATGATTTCTCCATGTTATCTTTCCTTTGTTGCTTACTGCTGCCGATTCCTCGTCATTTATTGTTTGATCGCTCTGTTCTTTATCTTAAGCGGTTGTTTGGTCTTCCTGCATACGTATTTTATGTTATATGTCTTGTCTCATTTGTATTCTGAGTCTCACATGAAAACTACTTACTGTTTTGCTAACTGCGTGGCATTACTCTGCTCATTAATTTCTCACCTCTTTTCCTCCTGTAAACTCTTTCCGTAAGTTAATTTTTTTCCGTATGCTATATTTTATATTTTATCAGGTTTTTTTATTCTCTTTCCCGTTGTTTATTTTGTTCCACGCCTGTTTGCAATTTACGATAGCTGTTGTTCCGCCGCACCTTCTGTTTTTTGTCGAAAATAATTTTTTGTTGTTCGCGTTAGCAGCTCTTTCTACGCTTTGTTTCTTCTAAAATGTGTAGGTTGCAATGTGTTCTGTACTGTTTCAACTTAAATTCGTAACTTATTACTACGACGATGTGATACTGCTGCTTTTCTTCACATTCCAATCATAATTACTTTCCATAAAATTCATTTGTTTATCATTTGCAGACGTTTCTTCAGGTCATTCGTTTCTTTAAGGTATTCTTCTTCGTCGTTGTATCGTTCTTATTTATATTTTATCATTAGTGTGCGGTTAATTGACCTGTTTGTTGTTTGCACAGTTCTTCATAGTCGTTCGCTTTCTAGTTCTTCGTTAGTGTGTGCTTAAATTTTCTTTATTTCGAGCTAATGAGTTTGATTTACTAGTGATAGAAAATTAGAGGAAAAGATCGATAGGCGAATTGGAGTAGCCAGTGGCGTTCTGCGTGAACTAGCCCGAAGCATTGTGACTAAAGCAGAGCTCAGTCTGAAAACTAAACTCTCGAAATTCAAGTCGATCCTTATCCCATACTAACCTACGGTCATGAATCGTGGACCATCACTGAAAAACTTCGAACCCGGGCACAAGCTGTTGAAATGAGCTTCCTTAGACGAGTCGCTTGCCTTACGCGTCTTGACATGGTCCGGAATAGTAGCATCCGGAATAGTCTTGGAATATAGCCTTTGCTTCTCAAGATTGAGAAGTCACAGCTGCGATGACTTGGGCATGTGCTGCGAATGCCTCAAAAAAGGAAGTCTAAGCAACTGTTCCTTGGAAATTCGAC